TTACCTCTCTTTATTTTATTGCCCAAATTATTAACAAACTTTCAAAAGCAATAAATTAAACAGGCACTTACTTACAGGTTAACTGAGATAAAACATATATAACAAAATAAATATTAATTAAAATTAATAAAACAGCCCGCAATAAACAAATCCTTCTTAGCAAATTAATATATAAACAGCAAATTATATAATTTAATCTAAATAAACGCTATCTTTTTAAAGTTTCGATAATAAAAAGTCATCTGTTATTAATTTACTATAAGTTTATAAACGTTTTAAATTATATGCTAACTTTATACTATACTTTAAATAGACTATAATTTTATAAAACCCGGCGCTACCTTGTTAGTCAAATAAAAAATAATAAAATAATACCTACCTTAAAAGCGATATCTAGGCGAGCTATAGATATATGGCATTTAAAAGGTATAAACCAAAACCAAAATATTAAAAAGAAATTATTAGCTATTAAATAATTAACTAGCGCCTCAGATCCTACTCTTAACTATAATTATATTAATAATAACTTTAAGTTCGGGGGCATCTAAGTAAAACTTGTAATATATAAGTTAATATTAAGCGTTATTCAAATTAATGCCTTGAAAACTATAAGTAAATAGAATATATTATATATACTTAGATATATTAATATTATCGGCTTTAATGATAGCAACTCCAATATTAGCTATTAACTACTTATTAACGCCGATAATTATAATAATAATCTCAAAAAATAATATAAGCTATATATCTTAAAACCCCTATTATTTATTACTGTTATAATAACGGCAGCCCAATATCTATAGTCTGTCTTAAACATATATAAAATATATAAAGATATAAGTTAAGTCGAAAAGGCTGCGGGATACTTTGTACTAATTAATAAAAATCTTAAATACACTTAAGTTTTTAACTAATTATAATCTGTTTTATAGTAATTTTATTATTAAATATATATTAGTTATTAGAAAAAAATTTAAACTTAATAAATTTTAAAATATTACTATATAAGATTATATTGAGAATAATCTAGCAAATATCTACTTATATAAAGTTATAAAAGCTAATATTAATATATAAGATCTTTGATTAGTTAGATAAATATTAAGAGATATCTTGATTAGAAAAAGCCGCGTTTTAGAAAACATAAAGTAACTCGACTTTTATATAATTATAATAGAAAAGATAACTTTTAATATATATTATAATATTTTGCCTTAACTACTTTTTAAACACTAATTAAAAAGTAGCAAAAAATATGAAATAATATCTCAAGATAATAGACTTTACAGAATCGCTTATTTAATTAGTTAGAGATAATGAAATACCTTTTAATAATAACTATTTCTATAATATTAAATATTATATAAAATTGCTATATATATTTTGATTTTATTAGACAACTTGGGACTAAGATTATTTAATAGAAGTATTAAAAATGGAATATATATAATCTATATATGTTATATTTAGTATTTGCTAGATATAAAGCAAAATTAATTTATATTAAGATCCTAAAAGGGTATATAATTCGACTATATAATAAAAATGATTTATATTCTAAATATATATTAAACGCCTCTTAAAAAACATCTTTATCCTCCTTATACTTTAAAAGTAGATTTAGATCTTTTTTGTTTCTTTTAATCTCAAGTTTTTTTAAGTGAATAAAAACAGGCTTTATAAATTGACAAAGTTAAAAACTTGCTATTTAAAGTAAACTAATTATAATATATAAAGCTTTTAATAAAAGTTTAAACCTTTAATATTATTAGTTTTTAAATATAAAGCCTTTAATACTACGTAAAACAAGCCTTTACTAAGCGGTTCCCATGTTATATTTATATTATAAGCCATATAGAACCTCTACCTATTTAATAACTTATATATAAATAGCTCGCCATACTTTAAAAACAATATTAATAATATTAAATAGCTAATGGTCTTTTTAAAATTAAAAAATTCATAATGGCCAGTTAATATATTAAGGTCAAAGTCCTTTTTAAATAGCTATATTATAAAGTAAGTATCTAAAAAAAACAATATTATAATGTAATTCACGAAATTATATTTATCTGAAAAAGCTTAAAAAAAATAGTTATAAATAATAATAAATAAGGTTTCTTACATTTTTTATATTATTAATATAATTTTTTTAAGATAATAAACTATTAAAAGGGTTTAATTTGTATTTCCAGTTATACTAAAAGTCGTTATGTCTAGATTTATAAGTTCTTAAATCGGTTATAATATTAAGAAGTTATTTATAAGGATTAAGTTTAATTATTATTAAAAATTCGGCAATCTTATTAAATATATAATAGTTAACTGGCCAGTATTATTCTTAAAATTAAAAATATTTCTATTTCTATTAAAACATTAACTCGGCCATATACGCTCTAAAAATCTCGTTTTTGATCATTTTAAGAACTTTTACTAATAAACTTATTATAGGTGCTAATTCCCCATATTTATAACATAATTATAGCGTTTAAAATAATAATTTATATATACTATAAATCTCAAGGTAACTTCCTAATTTCACAAAGTTAATCTTATATGCCTATATAATAGCCGGATTCTTATAATAAACATATGCCATATCATAGTTTACTAAAGGAATTCTGCCATAATAATACCACTACCTTTAATCTTATATGGCCACTAATTATTTTATATATATAAAATAATAGCAAAAGACTCAGATAACATGCTATTCTAAGAAAAGCCGTTATTAATATAATCTGTAAATTAAGATAACATGTTAAAAACAAGCCCTAGGACAAAGCGGTCATTAATATAGTCCGCAAGGCAATAGAGACAATTACACAGATTAGTCAGGGGTTTGACCTGTCATCTCAACATATTTATTATCATCTAGTTAAAGCTAGCTTCGGTAATTTAATGTCTCCATCAATCCTGTCCAACAGTGGGTGACATTACTCTGTGCGCACGGGCGAAAAGTAGCGATTTATTACTAAAATCCCACCACTTTAATATATCATACCAATTTTTCATCTAATATAATCTTAAAATTATAATTATATTATTATACTAGATTTTATTATAATATATTTTTAAAATATATTATTATTTTTATATAATAATTATGTAGTATAACGTGAGTGCATAGCGAACCGGGCAGTATAGCGAACCGGGCACTTTCTCTTGGCATTACTCTTTTTCCTTTTCAAAAATCATTTTTAAATTAATCATAAGATGTCTCAAAAAATTAATGAAGCCCAATTGAACCTTGCTATCCAAGCTATTAAACAAAACCTAAAATTATCAGTTCGGCGCGTAGTTAAGATTTACCAAGTGGATAATCGCAGACTAGGCGAGAGACTATGCGGTATACTTTCTCGACGCGATATCTTAGCTAACTCTCGGAAAATTACAGATATAGAAGAGGACGTGCTTTCTGAGCGTATTCTTGAGCTAGATTCTAAAGGATACCCTTCCCGGCTTTGTGTGGTTGAAGATATGGCAAATCGCATCGCTGAGATACGCGACGGGAAACGTGTCGGACCATGATGGGCTGCGAACTTTGTACGACGGCGATCAGAGCTCCGGACGCGTTTTCAACGTAAATACGATTATTAGAGGGCCAAATGCGAAGACCCAGCCGTAATTCGGGCCTGGTTTAAGCTTGTACGGAATATAATTGCGAAATATGTAGTCGTGGACGCCGATATCTACAATTTTGACGAGACCGGATTTATAATGGGCCAGATTTTAATAGGAATGGTCGTAACAAGCTTTGACGGCCGGGCATAAGTAAAGAAGATCCAGTCTGGTAATAGGGAATGGGTTACAGTTGTTTAGGCTATTAATTCGACCGGTTACGCAGTCCCGCCGTTCCTGATTTTGGCGGGGAAAACTCACCTCAATTCCTGGTACGACGAAGTGGAATTCCTATTACAATGGTGCGCCGCTATCTTTTAAAATGGCTGGACAACGAATGAAGTAGCTATGGATTGGGTTCGTCACTTCGAGGAGTTTACTGTATCCCGGAAATTCGGTGTTTATCGCCTTTTGGTCTTTGATGGACACGAAAGTTACTATTCGGTCGAATTTGAGGAATACTGTAAAGCCCACAATATAATCACTTTTTGTATGCCTTCTTATTCATCTCATATCCTTTAGCCTCTTGATGTAGGGTGTTTTGGGCCTTTCAAGAAGTTTTACGGTCGACAAATTGAGGATTTAATGCAGTAGCAATATATTCACGTGACTAAGGAGGACTTTATTCCTGCGTTTCGAGCTGCATTTAAAGAGTTTCTGACGGAAAGTAATGTCCAGGGAGGGTTTAGAGGAGTTGGACTCGTTCCTTTTGATTCGGAAAGAGTGATATCGGCTTTAGATCTCAAGTTACGGACCCCAACGCCTCAGAACTCCCGGCTGAGCACCGCCCAACCATGGACCTCCCAGACCCTTCACAATACACTATAAGCTACTTCCCAGAGTACTTTTATTAAGAATCGAGTGGCAAGACACCAAGGAAGCTCGCCGACCTTAATTTTAGATGCTATCGATCAGTTTAGTAAAGGTATGTTTAGAGTAATGGCGAAGTTGGTGTTGTTAGAGGCAGAAGTCAAAGATCTCCGCAGAGCGAATGAAACGCTAAGTAAGCGTCGTAATCGCAAAAAATCGCGTTTACAGACAGGAGGATCATTTAATCTACAGGAGGCTCAGACGCTAATGGACGAAAGAGATGTGGCGGACCAAATTAAGCAGGATATACAGTCGGGGAGTGGTTGTCGGCCAAGGATAGAAACGCGCGTGCGACGCTGTGGCAATTGTAATGAGACTGGCCATAACTCGCGCACATGTCAAATTGTAATAGAGACCTCAGAGGAAGAAGATTCTGAATAAATAAATTTGTTCTGACTTAATTTGGTTGAGTTATTGTGATTTTTGTAGAAATGCCAAGAGAAAGTGCCCGGTTCGCTATACTGCCCGGTTCGCTATGCACTCACGTTATTAATAATATTTTTATTTTATGTAATTATGAAAACCTTGGCACTTTGCGGGGCCCTATTATCACCCGCGGGGAAACCTATGGGGGAAGGATCAATATATCCTCACCCATGGGGGGACCCGCGGGGGAAGTAGAATTCCAAAACTTCCCCCATGGGGTCCCCCACGAGCAGCCTACTCCAAAGCTCATTACCGCTCACCTGATACTCCAATCCTTTCATGTAAGCCTGAGCTGTGCTGCTGCATCCTTCTGGAGCTCTTCGTATTTTAGCAGCCAACTCTTCATGGGTAAGCTCCCATTCGCGAACAGTGGACCACAATACGCGTTTGGTGGCAGGTATACCAAGGTATGTCTCGTCTGACAGGACCTTAACTGCGGAACACAAAGCCGATCCTTCCTTATGTCCGGACTGAGAAGCAAGGAGTTCCTTCTCCCAACTGTAGATATCGTTGACAACAGAAATCTGTTTAGCACAATTCTCTTCTAGTGGTTGCATGGAACTAAGCTCCTCTGGCGACAGCCGAATATCCATGGTAAACATCATCAAGGCAGATAATAGACTTGAGGTTTAGTCGTAAGTAAGTACTCCTCTGAGGATTAGGCAGTGCTCACGCTTTGCCCACATCCTTCTCACGATATCCGAAGTATTGGCCAAGTTCCTTGATAGACAGTCGTTCGCGATCGGTCTGTGCTTTCATGAAGACGAATGTTGGCTCGAGAACTCGATCCGCAAGTTCTTTATCAAGGCCTCGCATGCCAGCCCAGATGTCGAAGACAATGCACTCAACTGGCACAGAGCCTTTGAATCAAAAGTTAGCCTCATGCCCAAAGATTACACTGGGGATGAACGTACGATCTGGAAGCATATCTCCACGTGAAATCGGGATCAGCTTTTCGTTATAAGCCTGGCCATCTTCAAGTGACATATCCTCTAAAAGATCTGCAGAAAATATTAGGCCTAGAACTTACATCTCGGTGCAAGATTCATGAGGATATGTTTTACCGTCTATTAAAAACAAGACTGTAAGCAGCCGGCATGCGAAAGAAATCCTGTCATCTTTCGCAAGTGGAAAGTACAGGCATGTAACCCTTGAGAAACCTGCTTTCAGAAAAGTCTTCTCTGCCTTCTTGTCGGGAAAAGGCCAGTTGTCAAGGAAATATTGGTCGACTGTTGAGCTCACTTCCTCGACATTTGGATGACAGAGTGGATTCCATATAGATGCTGGTTGTTGCCATTTCCAACGGTTTATAGATGAGCTCTCGAAATTGATCTCATGGAGATGAGGATTGCTGGCATTCTCAGATGCAGAGGGAGATGCAACAAGAGTACTCATGGCAAATTCTAGGAGATACGGTGGCGTGCTTAGAACTGCAGATGAATTTTGGCGAGTCCAGATTTCAAAGACATAGAGATGGCCAACACAACGGAATATATCGGAAAGGAGCGTATTTGGCAAACACTTCGAATTCTCTCACACACCTCTTGGCCGAATGTGGGCATTTATTTCTCGGACATTTCCCTTGGTGGCCTGTATTATCCCGAGATCCAGTCGGATATTGCATTTCGCGGCTGGTAGGGAATCGTACCGTGAGATAAGCTCGCTTCTCCCAAATAGGAAATTCGCCGAGGACAGCCTTTCCCTGCGCACGTCTCCAAGGCCATAACCTCTTTCGAACAGGATTGTCTTGAAGGATTCAGAATTTTGAGGATCAGCGAATAGAATTTTTGATACATGACTCAGATTGAGGTGAAATCCAAGCCAACTGTGTTCACAAGGCGGTCAGCAGCCGCCTATCATTTCATCTCTCTCCGATCTTCGTTCCTGTAATTGTCCTCGTTCCTGACCCTGCTCATACTGCATTCTTCTGCATTCTTTTTGCGTCAAAGTATCTACCAATTTCCAAAGGTCTTATGGCTCCCACCCTCAATTTCAGTATTTTCTACTTCCTAGTTCTGGGTATCTGCACCGGTGCAATTGAAGCTAATGGTATCCATGGAACTGGATGTGAAGTCCTTACCAGGCGCTATCCCAGCCAGACCTTTTTCCCCGGCTCGAGCGAATACATGAATGGGACGACCGGTGAGTTGCATACCTGTAAAGTGAGATTACCTGCATAGAAAACTGATTGCATGCTAGCTGTCTGGTCTCAGACATGCTTTCTTCAGTCCACTTGCGTCTTTGAGCCCAAATCAGCTGCAGATGTTGCCGGCGCTCTTCAAATTCTGCAGGCTACGAACACTCAATTCGCTGTTCGAAGCGGAGGTCATCTGGCCAAGCCAGGATCCAATGGAATTACTGATGGGGTCTTGATAAGTATGGTCCAATTTCAAACAATGCAGTTGGTGGACGGAAGTAAAACTGCTCAACTGGGAGCTGGCCTGCGGTGGGGCGCTGTCTATGGTTGGCTTGCACCTCACGGCCTTGGGATAGCTGGGGGCAGATTCGGTGATGTGGGTGTTCCGGGCTTACTACTAGGTGGGGGCATTAATTGGGTTGGCTCACAATATGGCTGGGCCTTCAACAACATCCGCAATTATGAGGTGGTCCTGGCTAGTGGAGCAATTGTCAATGCCAACAGTAGCTCACACTCCGATCTTTTTTGGGCACTCAAGGGAGGCTCCAGTAACTTCGGAATTGTCACACGCTTTGATATCGCCACCTACGAAGTGACTGATATCTACGGAGGTTTGGCAGAGTATGTTTATACACCGGGGAACTATGACCAGTATGTGCATGCTGTAGCCAACTATCTGGCACCTTATGGAGGGTCTGATAATGCGATGTCGGCTATTGACCCGATCACCATAATTACTCCCAGCACTGGAGAATTCCTCTATGCAAATTACTTCTTCCACAGAGGGTCTGATCCTGCACCGGCTGCGTTCGCCAACTTTACAAATATTCCACCAGCCTTTACGGATGTCAACATGCGGCCGAACCTGGCAGCGTTCCAAGTCGCCTCTTTCCTTTTATCCCCCTTTTTTAACTTAACACCCCTATTACTTTAACCCTTTACTTTTATTTTCTTTTTTAACCTTTATTTAACCATTACTTTTTTATTTTTTTATTTAGCGTTACGTTTATCCTTTATACCCTCTTTTTTTTTCGTGTTTTTTTTTTCGTGTTATATGAGCAGCTCAGACGGCATGGGCAAAAACCTGGCTGCCGTGTACAGCTTTAGCAGGGCTAAGGTCAGGGCGGAGGATGACGGCTGGGCAGAGGGTGGCTGCAACAACTGCCGGTGCTATTGTTACCGCTAGTGCTGCTATCAGGGCTGTTGTTGGGGTTATTGTTAGGGCTGTTATAAATCGGAATAACCTAGAGGCCAGGTTCACTTTTCCCGAGTGCGTTTGCCTTCGTTTTATCATGCACTCTTGGTTCGCGATATCTAAAGCTTGCTTGAGATTTTGTACCAGAGTTCGAATGGTAACCAGGCCCAGTTTCCATGATCTAATTAGACCTCGGCCAGTTGACGCTGGTGTGAGAGGGGCTGATTGTACTTTCGTGTTAGGGGTAACAGTTCAAAAATGCTTGGGTGTAAATTTGTAGTGTCGCCACCCAAAAACCTCTGATTCTCTTCATATTAAACAATATCCCTCGCTAAAGCAGAAAGTGCCAGAAGGCTTGAGTGAACTATTATCCCCGACACGAAAGTAAAAGGTCAGCCAATGAACACCCATCTCAGGATCAGATGATGAACATGTTACTATCACACCCTTCCTTTTCAGATATCTATATCGAATTCACATGCTCTTTTCACAATCAGATTTACTTTCGAAATACGATTTGAGATATTTGAGTAAGAGGTGAAGGGTGGGAAAGGGGGAAGAAATGGAGTTCTGGTTCTTGTACTGTACGTGTGACCATTGGTGAGCGCGAGTTCATAGAATCGTAAACTTCACAAAATATCTTTGCGTCTCGAAGGTCATTTGTGAAAAATAAACTTCTTCGGCTCACATATGTGCTTGCTCAGCCGGACAAGTGCATAGCAACGAAGCTTCATGACCAACCAGCTTGCTCGAAATCAAAGATCCTCCCATCGTCCATTCCGAAGCTCTTGCCATGTTCTATCGTCCTCTACGCCAAACTGAAGAACTCCGTCCACCATCAGAATTCCCATTATTGTCGTTCCAGAGATCCTCAAGGTAGCTCTTCTGAAATCCATTCCCTCTCTGAGGACATCTATATGAAGCAACGGATGCTGTGGTCGATCGCGACCTGGGAAACCGCGATCTGGGAAGAGACTAACCCTGTACTTGAGATACTCTACGATGCATTGCCACTCTCGGAAAATGTCGTTCAAGATAGGCAGCATAGTGAGCGACGCTTTGCTCCAGCCCCAGTCCGAATCAAAACAAAGATCAGTACCACCGTAGCATCTAGGGAAGTAGGTAACATTGTCTGTCACAGGTAGGGCATTGTTCGCAGAGTCATAAGTCTTCGCAACGACCAAGATCTCGTAATGCAGGTGTTCTTTGCCTCGTTCTTCTTCTGTTCTACCTTCGGCTGTACGATCCGTGATTCGAGTACCAATGCTGAACGTAATGTGATGCAAGTTGGGCAACCGATCCAGTCCACTTTTTTTTGGAAGATATCGGAATAGGCAGGATCGCTGGCAAGGATGGTTTGGACTACATGAGTGATCGAGATACCGAGAATCGGATTCACGTCGAGGCTCTGTTCACAAGCCCATACTTGGCCAGTTGGAACTGCTGTGAGAAGAGAAGGGTGGTTGAGCCAGTTGAAAACCGCAGCCGTTAATCGCCAGCCCTGTGGAGCATCTGCTGTTGGTAGGTAGTACACCAGTTTCTTGGGTCACAATGCCATTCTTGCGTGATGAGAAATGGAAATTTATATTGTTAAGGGAGTTGTATGAGACTATTAAATATATGACTGGCCCTGCTTTCCTTAACAATGACCTTCTCAGTGCATTTCAAGTGTTGGTATATTGAAGAACAAAACAGATGCTGTTGAATGCACTCTCTTGCTAAACGAAGCTTTATGACTCTTCAGCATAGAATATTGGAAAAGAGCCCGCTTCTATTGCATGCTGCTGTGTGATAGTGCAGGGCTTTTCCTATGCCAATAGCATCAAGGATTTGGAATCAATTCATTGTCTTCTCCTCAAATCTTTTCCATCATAAAAGACATTATTGAGAACAGTAAAGAAGAAGAATATGAGAGTTGTTGCTGAAGTATAGAGATTTTTCTGTAACTTCCACGCTGGACCCCTTTCTCCACTCAGCAAAAGCTTCCAACGTGGCCAAGCTTTGCAACATTACCGAAAACTGCAGATACTTGCCTATCATGAAGCTTCCAGGAAAGGCTGCTCTGGCATGATCGAGATCCCATTGCCATTGGGGAAACAGCTTCGGGACCTCAAGTTAGGAAACAATACCTCTTTGATGCCTGTGCCCGATATCAGAATTTCTATGGATGAATGCCTTGACACATTATAGTTGCCTTGCTGTACTGCCAGCCGCGAAAACTCTAGGGCCGTGAACCAGAATTCGATGCTAGTGAGTCTCTGAGAGCTGCTCTATATTCTTACGTTATATCGAGGCATTCATTGGGGGCTGCTGTAACAGCTCTACTCCCTGACCTTAAAGGAAAGTCTCTATGGACTGCTTCTTTGAGCATCCATTCAGACGCTGCTGTGACACCACTCCCCCGGAGCTCAAGCCTCTGCTATTTCTCCTTCATCCAAATGCGTCCGATGTGCCACCACTCACAGCTTCCAAGTTATACTCCTTGGCGCTCCTCGTTGTCTTGCTTGCTTCCTGGATGCCGCTCTCGCAGTTGGTTCACTCAGCTTAGGGTGCTTCGTACTCTTGCATTCCTTTCTTCAAACTCTCCAATTACCCAAGAATTGTCTGATGATTCTCATATTGAGCACGAACTGCAGAATCGATACCAGTGCAAATCCTCCACTCCTCCATCAACGGTCATTAAAACTGGAGATTCATACAAGATCATTTCCATACTGCGAATTCGATATTATAATTCAAAATACATACGGAGAATTACATTCCGAAAGGGTACGTCTCCTTAAACTCCAACGGGGTCTTCGGCTGATGCACCTCCAGAGCCCTACAGTACTAGGCAACTCATATTAGGTTACTTTTTAAACCCCACCAAAAATCGCCATTTCGCCTTCTCCCGTACTATATACCACAACGCCTACAACATATAACTTTCTCTACGGATTATAGTCTTTTATAATTAATATATAATCTAACTTTTATACGATTCCATTTAAGCTAGGAATTAAATACATATTGTTTAATTAAGTCGTAATTGCGACGGTCCAATTTTCGCTAAGAAAATAAGCGAATTTGGGTGTAAGGAAGGCATTTTCTATTTACATCGAGAATTACCCCTATATAACTTTACGATAACGTAATTCTAGAATTATTAGAATTGGCAGAATTGAGGGGAATGATCCAATAAACGATTGCATGAGGAGGATTTTACTATAAAAACCTCGTATTGTGGATAGTTTGGAAAGTGTTGTAACCGAGTTTTGGTGTAAAACTTCGCTTGACCTAATATCAGTTGACGGTGACTGTAACTGCCCTCGTCTCATCGAACCAGATGTACCCATCAAATTGATCTGCCAGTATCACATGTGAATAATGGCTCTGGCGTTCAGTCTCTGGTCCATAGATCACCCCAATAAATCTCTCAAGTTTCTCCTGAATCAACTCCTTTCTCAGTTCGTCGTCGCAATGGCCCTCCCTTAAGTCCACGAGGAAGCTAGGGATTCCGGTCTGATGCGCCAAATATTCGACACTGCCTGGAAGACTGGGATCTACGTTCATGATCCGCATATCGCTATCCCATTCATCAGCAGCAGCAACGGTACCGGTATGAGTTCCACACCCGAAGCTGAGCACTTGATCGCCGAATGCTTGGCGGCAAAGCTGTCCAAGGCTAATCTCGCCACGAAGCTTGCCCATGGTTGTAGCTCGGGCATCGCCTAGATGACTGTTGTGTGCCCAGATTACAGCTTTGGAATTCGAACATGTGAGTATCCCGAAGGTTCCAGGACTCGGTGGAACTGTTGTACATGGCTCTATAATAGAGTTCTGCATCTACTCACTCTATCAGCTTGAGAACGTTGGAACATCAGGTCGGAAAACGTACCTGCAATCACTCGAGCGTTCTGCTCCGAACTGTGAAACTCTTCCCCGTCCGCCATGTGCGAGGAATACTCAATCCTCTTGTTCAACAAATCCTTTAGCATCTTCAGGACATCGGCTTCGCAAATTTTAAAAGCACCCACCAGAGCGGCGAGACCATATTCTTGGGAAGATTCAACCCATGGTCCAAGAGCACTGTATCGTTGCCGAGCTATCTTGGCCATCTTTGGATCAACATGATCAAGGTATTTGATCACAGCTTGAATGGAAGTACCCACGCTATAGAGGTCTAGCCCATAGAAGCTGACTTTATCGTCCATCTTCAAGGCCTTGTTGTATTCTCGAAGCCATTCAACGAAGTCGTGAAATTCATGGTTGCGCCACATCCATGTCGGGAAACGCTTGAACGCAGACGTATTTTCTGTGACCTCAATTTTGGTTGTCGGTCCTGGACGACGACGAACATAGCGATCAACTGCTTCAGCATCGGGCCAGTCCGCTTCTACGGCGACGACGTTGAAGCCATGGTGCTCAATCAGATGTTGAGTTATTTTCGCTCGAGCAGTGTAGAATTCGGAAGTGCCATGGCTGCCATCGCCGATGAGAACGACGTTGTATTGGCCAAATTTGTGGAAGTGTTTCGCAAACGATGGGTCGGAGACTGGAGGAAGAATAGTGACATTGTCACGAAGGAGGTCAGCTGCGGGTGGAAGCATTTTGACAATAGATTTTCTTCAAGAGCTTGCAATTCCACGTCGCACGTTTAAAGCACAATTCCACTCCACCGAATCCTAAGCCCTATCCAGCAGGAACAGCACTACCCGCAGCACCAACAGGGAGCTTCTTCCACGGCACCAGAAAACATATCAGAAAAGAAACACCAGCCATACCAATAGCAACCGCAAAAGAAGCTTTGATACCCTCCAAGTACGCGCTCAGGACCCCAGGGAGCTGATCAGGGGGAAAGACAACTCGGAGTTGTGTTGCGCCGATGAATATCAACTGTTGAGGGTCTACTTCAGGGGCAGTTATTCGCACACTGGAGATGACTCGATTGACGAATGCGGATTGTGCTGCGGAAGTACTGAATGCGCCGCCGAGAACTTGGAAGACTTGATGGGATGTCAGCTCCACTTTTGTTACAATATGAAAGGGGAAGAGACGTACAGTAGATAGTAGAGGACACGGTTGACAAATCAGCAGCGTCTTCTGCGTCTGCTTGAGCGAGATTCAAGGAGTTTTGGAAAGGGAACGCAAAAGCAACGCCGAGAAGAATTTGATAACCAATCCACTTCCCCGTGCTCGTTTTGGCGTCCATCGTGTACAAGAGGCCGGTTCCGATTGCGCCCAATGCCGAGCCGATGGCCATAAAGGGCGTCGTCAGACGCGTTATGGTGACGGTTATGCCGCCTATGACTATAGCGAAGCTACCCGCGATGACCAAAGGCAGGTTACGTACCCCAGACTGGATGGCGTTTACGCCTTGAATGCTCTGAAAGAATAAAGGGAGGTAATACAGGAGCAGAAAATAGGCACCAGAGAAGAAGAGCTGGAAGAGGCAGCCGGCCCAGAGAGCACGCCGCTTCAGTAATCTGGGTGGCAGCATGGCATACTCACCTTGGAAGATTTCCCATCCTATTAATGCGAGCAAGAGTAAAACGAACCCAACAAGTAGACCGACAACTACGCTGCTGTTCCAGGCATGGGATTGTCCTCCATATTGCAGAGCGATAATGAAGCTTATGATGCAGCCCATAGCCAAAACGATCCCCAGGGGATCCATTTGCAAGAATTTCTCTTTCCAGTTCGCTTTAAGCGGCTTGGCTGCGGGTGGAGTGTGGAAAAATATGGCCAGTAAGAAAAGGGCGGCACCGCCCAGAGGCAAATTGATATAAAAGCACCATCTCCAGCTCACACGCTGCGTGAATGCACCACCAAGCAACGGTCCGAGAATAGCAGCGATAGTGTATGCGACTCCCACGAAGCTCATCAGCGTTGGTCTGTTCTTCGGCTCCGCAGAAAAGGCAAATATGATGGTCCCACCAGTCGAAATACCAGCTCCGCCTATACCAGCGATAGCGCGGCCGACGATAAATGCGTTCGAGTTGGGTGCCGTGGCACAAATCAGACTGCCGATCTCAAAGAGCAGTATCGTTACGATGAAAGTCGATTTCAGGGAGAAGTATTTGAAAGCTTTGCCCCATGACGATTGGAAGCCGCCGAAGCACATAAAGTAGGCCGAGCCATACCAGGATACCTGACTGAGACCGTGGAACTCGTCTGTGATTTTGGGGATTGCTGTGCCGACGATTGTCTATGTCTCGTGTTAGAATTTCTGGACAAAAGATTCAAGGTGTTCCAGTGGCTAAAGTTTGACTTACTTGATCTAGAGATGTCAAGAAAACAGTCATGCAGACAGCTCCAACAAGAACGGCCAATCGGAAACCATGTGGATATTCGTCCTGAACCACCTCGGAATCGTGAATGGAGGTCATCTGACCATTGGTATTGGTTATTTCTTTTCCTCCATCCGCAGCTGCTTCCATGTTTGGTGGGAAATTATCAGTCGCCAGTGTTTTCTCTGTGGTAGCACTGCTGGACTCCATCTTGTCTGTGTCCGCGAGGTACCAAGAGGAGTCGAAGTAAAGTTTTGTGGTTGGAGGCCGTTTGAATGCGGCAAGGCCTGAAAAGGAAGGTGCGAGTGGGAAGATGTTTTATGAAGGATGGAATATGAAAGGCAAAGTGAATGGATAGGAATGACTTTTCAAATCAGACAGATGGTGATAAATAAACGCTGGAAAGACGGAGGCACAGTTCCAACACAAAACTTCGATTTGTAAACATCGTTCTCTGCTTGTGTTACGATCATTAGAAATGTTCACATCGAACAAAAAGGAATGGGGTTTAACGGACTTAAAAGGCAGAGAATGCAATTTAGAAACTTGCCGGAAATATTATGAGCAGGGGTACGTGCATTAGCGCTATGCATGGGAATCAATCACGAGGTGTCGCCACAGATCTCAGTTCAGAGACGCCCTCGCAGCGAGTAGCCAATAAGGCTGATTGAATGCTTATTAAGAGGGACAAAACAATCAAACGGGAGAAAATGTTGGAGAAACCTATCTAAAGAGCCGCATAAGCCATCATACTGAGGCCCACAGCTAGCTAGCGGACAAATCCGAGAAGCGAAAAGTGATTTTCTGATTTTCTGATTTTCGCACTGGCGCCCCGCACACCCCCCCCCCCCCTCCTCCCCAAGGCAGAATTCCTAATTAGGGATATAGCACCCACCACGTGACTTTCGGCTTGGATAACGCAATAATAGTAAGGCTGCTTGCTTGTCTAATTAACGACCAGTAAGAGGCCTATACTACGCGTATAAAATTCATACTAAAATTTAGGCCCGATAGTAGTATAAGATAAAATTGAGTATGTAACTCACAAATTACTATAGTTAGATAACTACAGGCTATAAGCCCTTCAGAAATAATACTAATTTAATAGGGTTCTAATAATTTCCTTAAATATTCCCGCGAGGTTAAGAAATAATAGAAAATTAAACTATTATAAAAATAACTAAGAAGCCGGCTGAGTATACTTTCTTTGGTAAATCTAAATTAATATAATTATATTACTATATCAAAAAATAGGGGTAAATACCTTACTCGCGAGTGTTTTGGGTAACGTTATATTACTAAAAAAGTACTTATGGGGTATAAATAGTAATAGCATATCCTGAATCTTAATCTCTATTAAAATAACTTAGTAAATTTTATTAAAGTTATATTATAACTTTTTAATAAATCTATTTAGGTTATATTATAAATCTTTACTAAATAGGCTATAGTAAATATTATATTAAGAAAAATTATAAATAGATTAAAAGATTTATATAGAATCTTAGTTATATTCGTATATAGTCTAATAGTAATTATAAGAATGAAATATCTAAATATATACTTAAATAGCAGATATATCTTTTCTTTATATATAGATTATAATCCTGTATTATCTGGGAGATATAAATAAGGAAATACTTGAGGATCTTAAGAATTGCGGTTATATAGCTTTAATTACTAGAGTCATTTATATATATAAAAAGCTTGGTCTTATTTGCTATATAACTATAATAGATAGGCAAGTAGCGGACGAGTAATTATTTGTAATACTATAGAGTAAATTAAATAATAGGCGGGTTATAGGTTATAAATAGTAGTATTTATATATATACTTCTATTAATAAGATTTATTAGTAATCCGGTTAGTCTTTCTATACTTTATTATTTTGCCCTAGCTTGGAAGATTAGGGCCTTATTTACTAATATATTTTATTAGTTATAAAAAGAGCTTATATATAATATTATAATTTCTGAATCCCGAGATAATTATATTATAAATATAACGGATATAGTCCAAGAAGAGAGAATATATTATACCTGGACCGGACTGGATTTGGTTAATTAATAGATATAATAAGCTATTACTATTTGGGATCGAGATATATATTTATATTAATACTTATTTATATAATATTATCTGAATATATATTGGAATCTCTAATTAAATTACCTATTTAGTTATATAATAGTATTTTCAGATTTGTATTTAAATAGGCTACTGCCCTTATTTCTTTAGGGCTAATTGAGGCTCTAAACTTCCCCTTATTACTAAAATATACTTTATATTTTTATAAATAGCTGATCCGTTAGTTATATATATAGAAAACTACTTTATTTCTAGGAAAAGTACCGAGAATTAGTAGATTAAATCCTAGTAATAGGAGCTTTAGAAAAGCTAGTTATACTAGTAGTATATAAGTAATTCCGTTTCCCTATATTTGCCCCTTATTCTTTTTATTATTAGAAGAAAGTATTAAATACTAATAATTATACTACTTTTTATTAAGGCTATTAGGTCTAGTATTATAGTACCGGATTATATAACTAATTCTGATTAGTATATATAGAACTACTTTTAGAAACTGGCCTATACTAGGGATTATAATTACTAATACCTATAGAACCGGATTACTTTACTAATACTTTATATATAGCGGATCCAAAACGAGATATATAGGTTTACGGACTTGTAAAATATCTATAGGATTAGAAAAAACAGATCTAGGCCTAATATAGTAGCCGGCAAGCTATTTAGACTATATATAAGGCCCCTAGGCGGGGTATAGTACTAGGATTGCCCTATAGATATAGAGCTTTATAATATAATCTTTAATAATTATTTAGTTTAGGGTAAGTAATATAACCTTATATAGCTTTATATAAATAGTTTACTTATATACTAATATAGATATTAATAAGTTTCTACCGAGAGAAATACTAGAATAGTATTATTAGAAGCTTATATCTTATAGTATAAATATAGCCGATATTTATATAGGAGATACTAATAGAAATAGTAACTAATTATATATTTAAGCTTATTACTAGCTCTAATATATAGTCCGGATATATATAGCTTTAGGGTAGCTACTAATATTAGAAGAGTCCGAGAAGCTAACTAGTAGATATAATACTACTATTATATAAAATAGAATTCTCAAGTAAGTTATTCTAATAAATATAGAATATATAAATAATATATAGGCCGGAAGAATACCCGTATAGTTCCTAATAGTCTAGAACTTTACCCAGAAATAGCCCTTTATTAGTAATACTTCTAATAATATAGGGTAATTAAATAAGCCAGTTATGAAATAACTAGGTATATTAAGATAGATATTATTTATTATTAAATATATTATTTTCGAAACCCTTTTCTTATTTTTAAGAGTAGTACTAATAGAATTATTAAATTTATTTACTATATAAATATTCTATATCCTTAAATTCTTATCTTTTAAAATAGTACTATTATTTCTCAAAACCTGCTCTAATATTATATATCCTATAGCCAAATACTAGTATAGTAATATCTAATATTATAAGTTCTATTAATTTACTAATAATAAATATAATATAGAGGCTACTACTTTACTTGCCCAGAATAGTAATACTAGTAGACTTAAACCTTATAGCTCTAGAATTCCGTTTATATCTGTCTCTCTTTTTATACCTGGAATACTTTAGATCCCTAGCTTTTCTTAGTATCCTTATTTTATATTTTTTCTTCTAGGAATATCTATTATACCTATTTCTCTAGTTACTATTATTATATAGCTACTAGATACTAGTTCTATTTTATCTCAGGCTTCTCCTACTTTAATAGTCCTATAACTACTCTCTTTTATATTTCCTTTTATTATAAGCCATATTACTTAATCTAATTATTTTTCTAGTAGTACTTATACTACTATATAAGCTTAATAAACTACAAATACAAGAGTTACTTAGGCTACTATCCAGGCCATAGCTCCTTATACCGGTAATAGGCTACCTGGAGCCCTTTAAGGTCTTATAAATCAAAATATAGCCGGGTTTAGTCTTATGGAATTATAGACCGTAGTTTTATAACTAGTTTTCTATAAGTGGGTATTTAATAATATAAAGAATTAGAGAACTAAATAAAGAACCATTCAACTTTCTAAAGAAGTCGGTAGTAAGTTTTCTCCTATTTCTTTTACTAGATTCTCTATATGAATTCTAATAGATATTTTTTAATAGGTGGCTTTTAATTTGAAATAAATAATCGAGTTTTTTCTATTCTTTTTAATATAGTTTCTTAATAGTTATTTCTTTATTTCTCTCTCTATATTAGCAGACTTATTTGCTATTATTAATTTATTAATAATATAAATAAACTAGTATTCTATACTAGTCCTAATAATAAAAGAGCCCAGGAACTTATAGTTTTACTAGGTTCTATTTAAATTGTTTTTAATCTTTCCTACTATAGTATATATCTGGGCCCTAAGAATATCTAAATAATTTTCCTTATTTTATACTAGAATAAGACTTTATATAAAGATCTCTGTCTTAAAATTACTTATAAAGAGCTAGAAAATACTTAGAAGATATAATAACTTAAGGAAATTAAATAATAGACTAAGGAGGCCCAGAAAGCTTAGGAAAGTATTACTTACTAGTATAGGTATAAGATTTTAAAAGTAAGAAGGAATCTAATAAACTAGTAGATAAATAAAGATATATATATAATTCTCTTTTTTAATTCTGGCTCCTATTTTTTATTTCTTTTATAGATTCTTTTTTGTTTTTAGGTTTAATTAACTTATATATACCAGAATTCTTTTCTACTTATTAATCTCTAGGAGCCGCAAGATAATACGGAAAGTACTATTAAAAGTACTACTAAAGCTAATCCTAATAATAATAATAATAATAGTAGTAGTAGTAGGCTATTAGATCCTCTTTTAATTTTACTATTTTCTTCTCTAGTAAAAGGGATTATAGTTAATCTTATAGACTATATAAGTATTATTTTATAGTAATAGATATATTAGAGATATAAATATATTACTTCTTTTTCTTATTAGATATAGAGAATTAATAAATATAATATCTTTAGCTTTATAAGTAAAACCTAAAGTATCCGGGCTATTACTAGTACTTTGCCTATTGCCCCGAACGGA